TGATGTGATTCTGGCCACCGGTGGGTACGACCATCACATCCGCTTCTGGTCGGCACACAATGGCATTTGTCAGCGCATTGCCCACCACTCAGACAGTGTATGTCCTCCACAACCGCTCATTTGATCCATTCATATGTCTTACTGTAACTCATTGTCTGACCATTGATTGACAGCAAGTGAATGCTCTGGAGATAACCCCCGATCGGCACCGATTGGCCGCTGCTGGCTATCAACACATCCGGATGTATGACATACTCATTCCCAACGCCAACCCTGTCGTCAACTATGAGGGCGTCTCCAAGAATATCACTTCAATTGGTTTCCAAAGCGATGGCAAATGGATGTACAGCGGAGGCGAAGACGGATCCGTGAGAATCTGGGACTTAAGGGCGCGAAACCTTCAGTGCCAGCGACTCCTGCAGACGTCAAACCCCATCAATTGTCTGGCACTACATCCCAACCAAACGGAACTCTATATCGGAGACCAGAGTGGAGTCATCCATATCTGGGACCTCCAGAGCGGTTCCGACCGCAGCGAGCAGTTGGAAGTGGAGTACGACATATCCATCCAAGACATTAGCATCGAGTGTGAGGGCAACCAAATGGCTGCCGTCGACAACAAAGGCAACGCTTATATCTTCGCCTTAAAGCACAACAAAGGCGTCGACGGCCTCCAGAAGCGACTCAAATACAAAGCCCACAAGAAGTTTATCCTCAGATGTCGTTATAGTCCCGACTCAACACTGCTGTCGACCGCCAGCGCCGACCAAACGGCTAAGATCTGGAGGACCGCAGACTTGTCTGATTTGAACTCATTGTCGCAAACCATCGAAAGCGATAAGAAGTCAAACAAACAGCTGAACGGCGCCCACAACTGGCCTAAAGTGGACTCTATTTTACCTGCCGTTGAGCTCAAAGATCCCAATCAGCGATGGGTTTGGGATTTAGGCTTTTCCGCCGATTCCCAGTTCATTATAACCGGTCTGTGCTATCATTACAACACATTTACCATATTATAGCCACTAATATACCATTCATTATATGCAATGATAGGCTCATCTGATAATAACGCCCGACTCTGGAATGTCTTCACTGGTGATGTCAAACGTGAATACAATGGACA